CCCTGCTTTTCCAGATCATTTATGAACATGTTAAAACAGCACTGGTGCCAACACAGATCCCTGGGGAAAGCTGCTGTTTACTTATTTCCATCCTGAAAACTGACTTTTTATATTCACTCTGTCTTCTATCCTTAAAACAATTTCTAATCCACAAGTGGATCTTTATTGTAATCCCATGACTACCTTCCTTCATTAAGAGTCTCTGATAGGGGACCTTGTCAAAGGCTTTTTGGAAATTCAGATATACTATGTCAACTGGATCACTTTAATCCACCTGCTTATTCACATCCTCAAAGAACTCTGTGCTTCACCAATCTACTAATTTCACTTTGACAAAACTATGCTGATCTCTCACCAGCAAGTCACGTTCATCCATATACAGAACAATTTTTTTTTTTTTTAATGGTTTGTACCAGTTTTCCAGGAGTAGACATTAGATTCACTGGCTTGTAGTTCCCTGGGTCCCCTCTAGATCCCTTTTCAAATATTCACACTGAAAACCCTGCGGTCCTCTCGTATCAAGGCTGTTTTTAGTGATAGGTTGCATACTACAGTTAAGAGTTCAGCAATTTCCAATCTGAGTTACTTCAGGGTCCTAGGATGAATGCCATCAGATCCTAGTGAACTGCTACCATTTTGTTTATCAATTTCCTCTGCAGAGTCATCTAATGAAGCCTCTATTTGGTCAGCTCTACAGACTTGTCCTTATTGAGGAGTGGATCAGGTAAAGGAATTTCCCCTAACAACTTACACAGTGAAGACTAAATGCATTTTTATTCATCTGTTTCCCAGCAATGGCCCTTCAAGTATTCCTTTTAGACCTTGATCCTCAAAGGCTCAAATGACTCCCTGGCAGGCCTTCAGCTTCTAATGTACTTAAATGTTTATTGTTACTTTTTATGTCTCTAGCAAGTTTCTCCTCAAATTCTCTCTTAACTTGTCTTATTACAGCTTTACATTTGATTTGCCAAAGTTTGCCCGCTCTTATTTTCCTTATTAGGATTTGACTTCCACATTTTGAAAGAAGCCTTTTTTCTACTTAGTGCCTCAAACTTTGGCACTAAACCACTGGCTCTCTTTTGGTTCACTTCCTATATTTTTTTGATTTGCAGATGCAACCTGCAATATGGTGTTCTTAAGCAGTTCTCACACTGCTCACAAGTGTTCACCTCCTTATGGGCCCCTTTTGCCTAACTTCTGTCTAATTAACTTCCTCATTTTGTTATGATCTCCCTTTTAAAGTTAAATGTTACTCTGGTAGATTTTCTTATCTCCCCTCCTACATGGATAGCAAACTCAACTGCACTGTGGTCACCACTGTAGAGTGGCTCAGCAACACTTACCGTCTGCACCAAATCCTGCACGCTACTATGACTACTTAGAACATATTCTTATGATCTTTAGCTAGATATACATGGAAAAAAGTGATGACAACACAGAATGTTTATAGTTTTACAGCCCACTGTGAACAGGCAGAAGACAGACTAACATAATTTTCAAAAATTGGTATAATTCTTAATATAGGATTTTAAAGTATCAGGTCATCTTTCAATGTAAAACAGCATCTCCCAAGAACTACAGAAATATTCTGCAGAAAGGACACACTGACACCAGAGATGAATAAGCTTGGTAATAAGCAGCCCAGCTACATTTCCAAATATAGCCTATCAGATATGCTGGGGGGAAGGAAGCATCCAAAACAGTAGATATGATAGGTTTAAAAGATCTTCCCCTCCTTTAATACTGCTGGCAAAGAGATGTGTTGTTTTGTCAGACTTTGAACTTTGATTCTAGTAACACACAAAGCGCATTCCGTTAATGAACTGTAAAAAGCTCTCTTCCACTTAATAGTTTTAAGAAGTGAACAAAAGATTTCTACAAAAATTTCACCCCAAAAGCACTTAGTTTGGCAATTTCCTGTTAGAACAGAATATTTAAAACAACTCATATTTAAACAACTCATAGGTCTAATGCTATGTGGTTTTATAGATTTTTTGTCTGTCTCAACATTACAGTCCTATACAAGTATATCACCAAGTTTAGATTGTCAGACTCTAAAATATGGACTTTAAGACAATGCTTTAGGGAAAACTAACTACTACTGTACATAGTTCCAGTCATTTCATAGAAAAAAATGTATCCCTGCAGATTTTATTCACTTAAGTCAAAGTTCATTACAGTATTGCTAGAGTAAAACTGTAATTAAGCATAAAAGAAAAAAAGTTAAACATAAGGCACTATTATCAGATAATGCCCTGTAGTTTACCAGTAAATACATAAAAAAAGAAGGCAATGTAAGTGTTAAGAGAAACAGCCTACACTTACAAGCCCTGCCATTAAAGAGACTTACTCAATCACTAAAACTAAACAACTCCACAGCAAAAAGAGCTCTGTTTAGTATGCTCATTTTAAGTAAATAAAGCCATCAAGACTTAAGTTGCGGACACAGATTACATTTCTAGCAGGAGAAATGCTGCTCCCCTCTTAGAAACTGCAAGCATACAGGCACCAGGAATATGCATGGTTTCTCACAGCAGAAACCTGGTGGATCCACAAGATAAATCTTCCATTTTTGATGAGGAAGATCTCACTTGCACAAGAGGTTCTAATACCAGAATGAATGCCTGTAGTCATGAGGAATCACATGGCAGGGAAACGCTCTCTCTGCCTTCCCCTGACAGAGGTGGGGATCCACATCTGGGCAAAGTGCAGGGGGCAGCTGTTGCTCAACTCCTTTTGATTCTTGGTCTGGAGAAGGTGCAGGGAGCATTTCTCCACTGCTGGATTTCTTGCAAGAATACAGGTCTTTGTTCTGGCAAGGGAAACTCTTGCCAAGGCAAGATCTACCTCATCCAAAGTGGAGAATTTTTTGAAAAGAGCAAGGAACTTTTCTCAGTTGCTCAACTCCTCCTGATCACGGGAGAAGTTAAGATGCCGCTGCCCCACTTCACCTTACTAGAGTACGGGCTGGGAGGCATTTCCCCTAAGAGAGAAGCCCAGCCCTGGTTTGCTTGCAGAAGATGGGGTGGCTGCAGGCTAGAATGTTTGTATGCTCCCCCACTCTTGGATTTCTAGAGCTGCAAATTTCCCAGGCATCCAAGGGTAGGCAATTTAGCTCATCACCTTCTAAATAACTTCCTTCCCCCCAGAAAGTAATGGAACATATTATTTGCTGTCATTACATTGCTCAGTTTGCTTATATGTTACACCTCTCACCCCATCTCTTCCATCAGACTAAGTTCTTTGGGCCAGAACCCACCTACATCTACTGTAGAGTGCCTGTACAGTGCTTAGGCACAATGGAGCTCAGCTCTGTTCTTGACTGACCCTTAGCCACCACAACATTTATAAGCATGCCTACAAAAATATGCATCTTCCATGAACAGATCACCCTTATTGATTAATTCACTAACTTGTATATGCTGTGTAACGTGTCAGTTGTTCACAATATAGTCTATATTGCTTCTTGTTTCGGGCACTTCCCCTCCCATATCTTTGCCCCAGAATCAGGAAAGGTGACTTCTGTTCCCTTATTTCTCCTGTGGCTGCTAATTTGCGCCAACTGGAGAGGTGAGCTCAAAAGGCTGCACCCACTGATTGCTCTTTTGTGGGCTGCCCCCCCCCCTTCTTCCAGAGCCTTGGTCACACTGAAGGAAGACTGTGGTCAAAGCCTCATTTCCTTTGACTCTTTCCTTCCTTTTTCCCCCCAACTCTTCCCAGACAGCTAAACAGCTCTCCCCAGAATAGGACCCCCCCCACCCCCAAAAAAACAACAAAAATCAAGGTAAGCAGTTACCACCTGGATCCCCATTCTCTCTTATTCTCCCTGTTTCTTTAGAGAAGCCAAAACATGGAGAAGGGAATTGGTGCCTAACCCTGTTAACTCCCTGAAGGCCATGTCCAGACAAACACAGCTGTTTGTTACCCTGGGGTCAAGCAGCAGCAGCACGCCTTATGCTGCTACCATTTGTGCCTGAGGAACACCCATGCCACACATGCTCTGGCGTGTGCTCTGCCATGTAGCAGGTTACCCCAGTGGGGTAGAGGGACTGGGGCTAGCAACCTAGCTGGCCCCAGCAGCCTTACCTGGGATCCTGGGGGTCTCCTGAGGCTGTAGCCATGGTGCTCCTGCAATTGGTTCCGACTGGCTAGGCTCCTGTTTTGGGCAGCGCACACTGCTGCCATATGCCACTGTTTTTTGGTATGGGTTTTTCTGACCCTGGGGTCAAACTCCACGCCCCTCCCCCCCGTTGAAAGATGGCAGCACAGGGAACACCTGCATGTACGGTGTATGGTGCTGCAGATGGGTCTGCAGCACCACATACCACATGGCTGTGCTCATCTGGACACAGCCGAAGTGGACAGCCCATCCTGCTACATTCACCTTTATGTCTTCAAGTTTGATCTTTTTCACCTGTGTCTATTCCCTGAAGGTGTACCTAAAGAACTTACTTGTTCAGATGATTTCTGAAAATGCCATTAAAAAACTATTTAAAAAAGTGTCACAGTCAGGTAGAAGGCAACGTTTATTTCCCTAAGGCTGAAAAACGCAGAGCAGCTTTGTACATCCAAGAAACACATTCTATCCTTCCTCAGAACTTATTTCCAATACAAAAAGCATTTTTTTTAAATATAGTTTTAAAAACTGGGAGAGTTCAGTTAACTACCATATTTTCTCACATACCACATGCCCCAAATAAAACACATTTTGTTTTCAGAAAGCAGAATGTAGAAAAAAAATTTTTCCATGGTAACAAAGGACTGACAGAGGAAGTCCTCCTGAAAACAGAGTGTCCAGGAAGTGCAGCATCCCAGAAGGCAGCAGGAACATTGTGATGCAGCAGGACATCAACAAGGCTAGGCTCCAGACCCTTGCAAGGGCAGCAACAAGATTATTATTTATTTATTGAAAATAGTTCTTTATGCAAGTTCATACAAATAAAAGTGTTGCTTCCAAACTACAAGCCTCATCGAGATACTTTATGCAGCAGCTCACTCACCCTCAGCCAACTCAGTGGCTCTTCAGGCAAAAGGTACTGCCTCACCAGCGTGTCCAAGAGGGTTAACAATGAACTCTGCCCCTGTGGAAGGGGAAACAGCAGCTATTTTAGCACACTGCCTGCTTACTTTTTTTCTATTCCTGCTTCCATTCCAGGAAAGGTAAAGACAAGACCTTCCTCACTTAAGACCTGCATCCCAATTGTGGAGAGCTGATGGGACCAGCCGGGGTGGGGGTGGGGGGGGGAAAATAGGTATGTCATATGCAAGTAAATGCTGTAAATTCCAAGTTTCAAGAACAATGATGCAACAGAATAAGTTGCTGTGGATGCAAGCATGTATGTTCAAAGGAGAAATATATTTCTAGAAAAGTCTTCAGAAGAAATTCAGTTACATACAGATTACTAAGGTAATGGCAATTCCAGTATCTTTTTACAATGCAACACACCACTCTCACCAAATTCAACCACAGAGTTAGTTATCCAAACAAATAGTTAAATTCTGAAAGAGTTACAATTTAACTCTAGTCTACTAACTAACTACCTTAAGGGAAAAAAAGATTGTAAGAACAGTTTCACTGTAACACACGCTCCTAAAAATGATCAGAACAATAATCATAGAAAGAAGGACTGGAAGGGTTAGGATCATCAGCTCCAGTCCCCTGCCATGGGCAGGAGGTAACTGGGCTCAAACGAGCTCAACAAGGTGCTTGTCCAGCTTTCCCTTGAACACCGAAAGGGATGGCAATTGTACCACCTCTGCTGGAAGTGTTCCAGATTCTAGTTACTTGTATGGAAAACGTTTTTCCTTATGTCTAGGCGAAACTTTCCGTTGACTAGGTTGTGCTCATTGGTCCTCGCCCTCCCAGGGGGTGGTTTTCTGAAAACATCTATTAGATACTAACAAAAATTCTCTGAGTATATCATATGAACAATGTTTACATGTAAAGTATAATTAAAACTGCTATGTATTAAAAGATCAGATCATAGCTCTGCATACACTGTACACCTTCCATCAACGTGCGCCTTTGCTTTTTATTAAGCAAGTTTTGAGCTCCCTGGAGTTGAACTGAGGTGACACCACCCATTCACAGCCCCTAAACACTTCTTTTATAATTTCCTAGTCCACACACACAACAGCTACTCCCCTAAACACTTTAAAACTTATGAGGTAAAAATATGTTTCAAGTTCAAAATGCTCCACACAGCTATTTTTTTTTTAAATTTAAAATATTGTATCAGATTATCTAGATGGAAATATTGCACCCTGAGTCTGCATAAAATTTCTTATGCATTTTATGAAGATAAGATATTAGGACAATGCAGATAATTTAGTATTCCAGTTCTCACTCTACTGCAGTTGCCAGCCCACACACACTAATTCCTGTAAGAGGTAAATGCCCATGAAAAAAGTATTTTTGATGAGGGGGTAGGGGAAGTGTTCCCACACATGTGAATGTGCTCTATTTTAAAGATTGAGTGATAATCTTTACCTAAAGATAGGAAGACAAGTCTGTCATAAACCTGTATACTTGTAGGGCCCAAAACTCACTTCATACCAAAAAATATGGAAAACAAGACAAACACTAAGATTAAAGGAAATGTAATTTGATATCTCCATACTAAAAAAGTAAAAGCAAACACCTGAGTTTTCCCTTCACTTTCACTATTTGACCTTAGATCCAAAGGAAAACGGCTAATATTAAATATGCTTGATAACGTGTATAGTACTAATTCACGTAGACTTACATGGCATGCACTTTTCTAACTGACCAGCACCACTAACTCTTAAAGGGTAGCGTGGCCCTAGTGTGGATATCAATTTTCCTCCAACTATGTATCTGTAAAAGGAATAAGCTGTTAATAATGAGGCGTTAGTAGAAAAGCTATGCCCACAGGTGTGTGTGCTTCTAAAACAGTGGTTTATAGCCCATTTAACCATAAGGATTTAAGTAGACTGTACGGTATCTGCATTTATTCAATGGAAAGAATCTGCATGGTGCACATCAGGTTGCCACTTAAGATGTATCACAGCTGCAAAGTACTGTATAATGGATGTGATGTTTACCATTCACAGCCTATGCATTTGCTACATTTTTTTTTAAAAACAGTTATCAACAAAAGTGCAACAAGAATGAAACCATTAAGTAATATTTTTGTTTGGGTAATTTAGTCAAAAAACTTCAAAGCAGACATAGCATCTGGTTTTCAGTGAGGTCCTCCTTTTATCAAACTTACAGCTGTGCTGCAGACTGAGACACAAGATAGTCACATGATCTCCTTGTTCTTCAATCAGCCCAGCTGTAAAATACATTAGGATTGTTTGCGGATATATTGCTTTTTTGTTCTGTACTGGAAGGGGAAATATGACGACTGCAAATCTCTTTTTCCTGCAAACCAAAGAATACCAGCAACCCCTTCAACATAAATGAATGCTAAAGGGATGTATGCATATCTTAGAGAAAACTGCCCCTCTCATTCAATTTAAAACTCTCCAATACACTATGCTAAGACCTAACCTTCCAACAAGGAAAAAACATCAGGAGCTATGTAAATGGTTATGCAAAGCAAGAGCACCCAGTTCACTGTGCTATGCATCCATCTATGCTTCTCTTTAAACAAAAAACCCTATGTACCACATGCTTCCAAAAGTTCATGTGCTAAAATATAAACTACTGTAAAAAGGTAACAGTTTTGACTTGACACACAAACCAAGTCATCTCATATTGATAACCTAAGAAACTGAAGTCTCTCTATAATAGCCACAAAGCAAGTATGGCACAGACATCAGACCTGCTTCTACACCAGTGATTCTCAACCATAGTGTCACAGCACCCTGCGATGCTCTGTGCACCGTTCAACAGTGCCACACTATGGTAGTACTGCTGGGTGTGCAAACATAATTCACAAGATAAACCCAGAAATTTCAAATAAGAATCCATAGTATTTTAAAATGTCTTCCCTGTTGTGGTTTTTCTGAGGTTTTGCAACAGAAAAATTGCTCTATCATTTTTCTGTAGTCAAAATGAGTGAAAAGTAGGAGGTGGTATCTTATTTTTTGAGGGGTGCTTCAAGTTGGATGAACAGTGCTTTGAGTCCTAAAAGGTTGAGAACCACTGTCCTACACTGACAACTTCAGGTCCTATAATTCCCCACTGCATTCATTTCTGTAACATTAATACTGGCATTAGCTGTGTCACAGCAAAGACCAGTATGTTTTTTAACCATTTCACCCATATCTGTCAGAATACAGTTACATAATAATAGTAAGAGTAGTATCTATGCTACTTCCTCCTTATTACTGACAAGGATAGGGCTCCAAGGATTAAAAGCTCTAAGGTTTATCATAGTAAGACAATCTTCGTTACACTGCCATGGAGTAAACATCTTTTTTAATAGAAACTGAACTAGAGCTTCTGCTTGCTCCCATAAAGGCTCTTCCACAAAGTTTCCAAACAAAGCAACAATTCAGGCCCACTGTGGTAGTGTTGTATGAGATGTACATCAGTCTACTAGAAATTGGATCTAGATGCACGTTCTTGTTTCACACAGGCTGTCCATTACATCAGGTCTGTTCAACTTGTGAGTGGCTGGAGGCCACATCCCATGCAGGACAAATGCCTTCCCTCATCCCCCACTTCGGGCCACATGCAATACAGGCTCCCTCCCTACCGGCTGTATGGTGTCTGCCCTCCCCCGATCACCAGCCTAGTTCCCCCAATTCTCTGGACCATGGGGCAAGGCAGAAAAAGCTGGAGGATGAAGCAGGAGCCCAGAGACTAGCAGCAGGGTAGTGGTAGCATGGGCAGCAGTGGGGGCATGCATGTAGGGAGTAGTGCCTGAACCAGGAGCCACAGTTGAGCCCCTCAGGGACCCTGTATGGCCTGCAGGCTACAAGTTGCACAGCCCTGCATTAGATGTTAACTTTTTGTCACTACTAACCTAGAGGCATAAATACTTTTTATCCATTAAGAATCTCAAGCCATCAAATCCCCTTTATACTAATTTTTAAAGAGTGCCCCAAAATAAAATTACATATTTCAGTATTTTGTGTGAATAGCATAAAGAACACAAGGAAAAGGGTACTATGCTATGTTTCACTACCTTTTCCTCTGTTTTATAGGTCCTGAATTACATTTCCTCTGTATCTTGATGGCCCTTGCTTCACAAAATATCAACAATTACAGAATGGTGGAGACTGGGCATGGCTAAGAGTAAGTTATCTCTCTAACATCACAGAGATTTTTTAAAGTTCTCTTTTGAATTGTGTTATGTTCAACAGAGTAAAAATAATGCAAACCTGAGCAACAACACATACCCCAATTAACTGGGATGTCTCCAAGGAACAGATTTAAGGC